TTGTTTTTGCCTGTTTTCAATTTTTACCGGGGAAAAACACCAACAATTTTATAAATAATCCCTAAATTCCGAAAGTGTAAAAAATTGCTATAATTAGAAAAATACATGCAAATATTATCGTCAGTTTAAAGGTTAACCATAACACATTCTGCATATCAGAAGAACTTTGCATTAATGAAACGGTTTTATGCAAATTACCTTTATTTACTTCCAATATATCTAATAAAGTCCTCTTACTTTCAGCACATTTTCGGGGGCTTTCAGCGTCTTCAAGCATTCGACCATAAGTCCATATTCCGTTTGACGTCTATAACAAAAACGCTAAATATGGTATCATTTAAGTGCATTTACCGACAAAATGAGTTTTGGACATCCGTTCTTATGAAGATTGCCGTGTGGATGATATTTAGAAATTCCAAAACACATTGTGGAGCAAAAAGAAAGTTCGCAACAGAAGTCTCATACTGCTATTCCTAAGATTAATAAAAAAAATTTAAAATAGGGTACCTGATTAGAGAGAACTTCACTGAGATATACTGCTGATATACTGCTGACCTTTTCCAAGGTAATTTCAAAAATTAAAACGGAGATTTTTGACAAGTTTTTCTTAAATGACCTGGGGACGAATGGTATAGTTTGGCCGGAAATGAAAGAATTAACTTTTCTTTTATATTAGAGTATTTTTACCGAAGTGGATTACTTCCAGACCCTGCTCAAAGTTTGCTTGTCAAGTGCCTGTTAAGATATTATAGAAAGTACGCATACGTGGAAAGTATAGTGCATAAACAGTATATTTATACACGACTATGATATAAAAAGGCCTGTTTTTTACCTACACCTTCATGACTATATGTGGCCAATTTTGGTGAAATCCTAAATACTTCGAATGGTAAAGCATTTGGGAAACTTCGGACACAACTTTCTGCTTCTGCAGGGTATGCTTTAAACTTTCCTTAGTTACTTTGGGGTTCTCCCATAGCATAATGCGCATTTATAAAAAGTTTGATTCCGTTGAACTCAACTTCTTTGTTATCAGCCTACTGTCAATTTAACCAAAATTAATGCCCATTAACCTCAATAAACTTAACTAAAAAGGTAGATTTCCTAATTGGAAGGCTTTCTCGAGATTAACTCTATTCATTAGATTAAAAACACTTGACCCTGTACGTGCTAAACGACCAAGTCAATTTTTGTCATGACTTTTGCTTGCAGCAGTTGCCCTCCTGTAAACCTTGAGGCCTCACTTATTTCATTATTGTATAGCCATGGAAAGTTACCTTCTGCGATTTAACTTCTAGAGGCTTGAGAATGTATGCAGATTGTTGTATTATTATGGTCACCACGTCAATACGTCAGTGCAATTTTTAGTGTTGATCGGTAAATCTTCTTCACAGGAGTAAAATGTCATTTATTATAGCCCATACAAATGTGACATTTCTCGAGAATGTGACACATCAAGCTTGCTTATATTTGCCACCTTTTTCAAGCTCGCCTTCTCTCCACAAAGTGTCTTTTCGTTTTATAACCTTTTGAAAATTCTGCAGGGGACCGCAAAAATTAGGTTGCCCGAAAGGACACCATAAATAGAATAACTGAAAATTCTAAATCAGCCGGCGCATCTTGCATACAATATGCCTGGATGCATTGCTGTACTGTGATCTGTATTGTTTACAAGTGACTTTCATTTGGGTCCATAAATTTTTCATTCAGTGGCTTAAGTAAGTTGGGAAGACCCCGTTCGCTTCAACTTTCAGGCTCGGTCCCTATGTAATTTTTGACAGTTAGATAGTTGACACTTACAGCTTTCGGTAGGGGAGCGTTATTTTTTCCACTTAATAACTTAATTATAAACTATAGAAAAATGTGAGTATAAGCCTCGAAGAAGACATGACTTCTGCCAAATGATTATAAGAATGTATATGGTTGTGCATGTATTCTATGAAATATATTAGGATTTTAAAGGGCATCGAAAGCGCAGAGCTTTTACGCGAGAACTCATACATCGTTACTATTTAGATTAAAGAGGTTGAGAAGTATCCGCAACGGAGATACCTAAACGAGCAATTTGCGTACGTAAATTTCCGACCGATAAGCAATTGTTTTTGCAATTTTTTAATAGAAATCATGAAGAAAA